ATAAGTTGCATTACTAAAAGAGTTGCACTTTGTAAAAGCACGATTTCAGCCAATTTTGGGAGCACACATCACAGATCTGGGTTCGAGTCTCAACAGTAATTTATAAGGTAAATTTGTAAATATTTCTATTTTTTCTTTCATAATAAGTAATTAACTGTAAATTTATAAAATATGATATGCAAATTATGACCCTATATTATAGGTGTATTTTGTAAATTTCCCCAATTATAATGATTATTGCAAATTGTTATTAATGGGCTTAAATGGTTATTAGAGATACGGACTAATGAAATAGTGGGTATATTCACGTCATATATATATATATATAAAATACCAAATAAATCTGCATCAAGGATTTGTGACCTTTATTCGTTGTGAAATTTATGTTCTTAACTTTTTTAATCACATTTTAGCTTTATATTTTCGTCAATTAGCAAATCTCGTCCGTAACAATGATTTTCGTCCAAATTTTTTATTGTACTTTAAGCAGGGGACTAATATTTTAATCACAAATTTGTATTTATTTAATTTCAATAATTACTTTTATCATAGATTTTATATTATCCATAGTTTTTATTAATTTTTATCCAAATTTACTAAAAATCTATTTTTTACAAAACCAAATACGGACTAATTTAATACACAATAGAAAACAAACATGTCAAATAACATATAGTGTGAAACTATTGCCTCTCTCCATTAATTGTGTATTTTTTGCAATTGTTAGTCGTTAGAATCTAAAGTAATAGGGAAATTCATGTCGAATTTTACAATAAATTATCTTTTTCTAGAATGTGTGATTAAAAATTACGAAAAAACGAGAAACTAATGAAATGTATAATAATAATAATAATTTTGTTTAGGGAGAAAAACGATTTTAAAAATTAATTACAAAATGGAAAAAAATAAAATAAAAATAATTGGCTTCCAAGAAAAATCTATGGCCTGCAGTCTGGCAGAGAATCCTTTCTTCTCTTACCCCTAAATATTCCGATTTGACTACGCGATCTGGTAAATCGATCCCAGATTTCTCGGAATCCTTAATTTTTCCAGAATCGGAATCAAAATTCTGATTCCATAATCATCCCTCAATGGCCAAGTGTTTTAGCTTCACAGCCTCAAGAGACTGGTGTTATAGATACACTTTTTCCACGTCCGGTCTAAAGTCATCCACCACCGACCTCGGCGATGGCACCATCATGCACTGTTGGGTGCCCAAAACCAGCAAACATTACAAACCCAATTTACTTCTCATCCATGGAATTGGCGCCAATGCAATGTGGCAATGGAATGAGTTTATTTCCCCCTTGTCCTCCAAGTTCAACGTATACGTACCGGACTTGCTGTTTTTTGGCGATTCATACACCACAAGGCCGGAGAGGACTGAAGCCTTTCAGGCTCAGTGTGTGATGAGGACCATGGAGGCGCACGGCGTGCGTAGAATGTTCGTTGTAGGGCTGAGCTATGGTGGGTTTGTTGCGTACAGCTTAGCGGCGCAGTTCCCTCAGGCAGTGGAGAGGGTGGTGATTGGATGTGCTGGAGTGTGTTTGGAGGAGAAGGACATGGAAGAGGGGTTGTTCAATGTAAAGAGTGTGGATGAGGCTATTAGCATTTTGCTGGCTCAAACGCCGGAGAAGCTGATGGAGTTGATTAGACTTTCGTTTTACAAGCCAATGAAGACCGTGCCTTCTTGTTTTCTCTCGGATTTTATTGATGTAAGTTATTGGGTTTTCAATTATTTTTTAGTTTCATCGACTAAGAATTCAATACTGTAGTGAATGAATTGGAGTAATTGATCAGATTTGAAATGGATTCCATGAGCATTTTCTGAATTTGGGCTTGATTTTAGAATTGATATGCTAGTGATTACACATTCCAGTGTGCAGGAATTTTGCCTGAGAAGAATGGATGGAGGTTCATATTGATATGCCTGTTAATTGATCTGACACGCCGTTCCTCCTTATTAATGTGACTGCTTTTTGTGACGCCGTTGCTATTGGTCCAGGATCCACCGAGTATTATAATAGTTTAATCAGAATCACCCTGAGAGGAGCAGATCCTCTTCAATGCAGAGGCTGCGATGCCAATAGGAGTTACAAAAGCATTAAGCGTTGGCATACGAAAGAAATAAATCTTTACAATAACACTGATAGTCCAATCTAGGCTGAGCTATATGAAACCGAAGCAACAAGTACATCTGTCCTGTTGTCCTAGGTAAACTTACTTTGGAAATTTGGACAAAAGCCTTTCCTGATTAAAAAGCTGTCATTACCTCTTTGCTCTTTACCATATTTAATACCAGATTTTGTAACAATATCATGGTACATTAAGCTCAATCTTATATATCATTCAACAGCATGTGTTATACTTGTATAGGTAGTTGTTTACGAGTCTTTTGTATTAAGTGAAAAATGTGAAAAAGCTACTAGCATCTTTTTCCATCTTATATTATAATTCCCATTTTCTGTTGTTTGTTAGATCATTCAATTTTATGACACACCATATCTAAAGAAACTTATATACATCACATGTTACCAACTAAAAATTGTGTCTGAAAGAGCTGAATGTCTTTGAATTTAGATGTGTTTGGAATTGAATTTACATTATATCATGTTAAGTAGAAGAAAATAATGGAGCCAACCATGCTGATCAGTTCAGCTCGTAGATTATTAATTTTTCCTTTATTTGATATTTTAACTGGAAATGTCGAGCGTTTCTTGGGGGATTGATTTTTCAATTATATAATACTCCAGAGAATTTCTCTTTCTCTCTTGTCTAGCCCCTTTCCCCAAGAGTTTATTTCTTACATCATGAAAGCATATTTAAATTCATCGACAACTTAATCCAATGCAGCAAAATTTTATAAATATTCGTAAGGGTAGAATGTATGTTCAACATTTTCAGTCAGTAGTAAATGGAAAAGTGTTTTCCATCCTAAATATCAAATTTTATTGAATAAATTGAATCTGCAATTGTGTGTGTCGGTTGTTGTTTGTTGACTTGAGCTTAATCAGTTTTTCCTTCATTGATGAACATAGGCTACCGTTTGAGGTCATGGAGAGTGTTACTATTGGTGTAATTGTGGTTGTTTCTGATGACGAATACTTTGTATTTGCCGTTTGAGCCAACTTTTTATTTACCTGGCACAACTGTGTGATTGCTTTATGGTTTTTAATTGTCCTGAAGCTGATTTTACATTTTTGGTGTTTTCTACATGTTTGTGTAGGTAATGTGTGTAGAAAATTTTCAAGAAAGAAAAGAGTTGGTTTACACTTTACACAAGGACAGAAAGCTCTCAGATCTGCCTAAAATTACTCAGGTTTGTTTTGCATCTTATAATTTATGACATTTTGTTGCCTTTACTTCTCACTTCATCCTTTTGAGCCTTGTATCTTCTCTTTATTCAGCCAACACTAATAATTTGGGGAGAGTATGACCAGGTCTTCCCACTGGAATTGGCTCACAGATTGAAAAGGTGAACGCAAAGAATTGTTTACGAGATTTTGCATCCTTTCTCACTTGTTTTGGTAGCATAAAAAATGATTTTCGTTTTGGATTTATTTAATTCCTTTAGAAAATGATGATTTAACATGGTACTTAATTGCTTGCAAATGGACTACACTTTCTCTTTACCGAATTTATTATTGCCTTCCTTTTTAGGCATTTGGACGACAATGCACAGCTAGTTGTCTTGAAGAATGCCGGGCATGCAATTAATATGGAAAAGTCGAAGGAACTATACAAGCACTTGAAGTCATTCCTTATCTATCCTGCTCTTTCTAAGATTGAGAGCAATGGAAACAGCCGCAAATTGGATTAAAAGAAGGGGAAAACACTTTAATTAATCAAGCGGCTCCAGTTTAAATTTGGCATGCATATATTGAACTTGGGGTGTGATCTATATTCCAGAGAATTCATGCAGTATAACAAAATACATTTTATAATACAGTACCATAATATATAAGAGAAATTTTTTCTTGCTGAAGAAAGCTGGTTCAGTTCACGGTGAAGTGTTGTACTAGCTTTATTGTGTGCGATTTCTACTGCAATATTAAGTTGATTGCTCCTACAGAGGTGTATACAAAGGTTGTAGATATTTGTCCAAGACTTGTCTGTTTGTAATATTAATATATCGATATATATTTGAATGAAGACGTTGTCTAGAAGATTGAATTGTCAGTTAGATGAAAAAATTAGTTATTTATATTTATATTTTCCTTATATCCTTCGCGTCCAGTCCAGATATATTTATTTATTGAAGAAAAAGTTAAAATCTTATTCATTTTATATTATTTAGTCCTATCTACTACTACATACCAGACACACACTAAGAGTCTTGTCACTTTCCTTGACAATCAAGAACTTCTTTGAATAATCTATCCAAGTTTGTGTATGATGAACCTCCTGTTTCTGTTGCTGCTTCTGCTTTTCTCTTCCATTCCATAGCCCTGCTTTTCATTTCTTTTCCTTTCTCTCCTTCCATAACATTCCTAACAAGTTCTTCAATGTCATCTCTTTTAACATCATAATTAACTTCCAATCCAACTCCCCATTCCATGCAAAGATATCGACAGTTTGTTTGCTGCTCGGCAAAGAAAGGCCAGCATATCATGGGCACTCCAGCAGACATACTCTCGAGTGTAGAATTCCATCCACAATGAGTAAGAAAGACTCCAACTGCTGGGTGGGAAAGCACTTGATCTTGCGGGCACCAGCTCGTGAGTAAACCTCGATTCTTGATTTCCTCAAGAAAATCTTGAGGCAATATTGCTGACTCCCCCATCGCAATATCTGGCCGAACAATCCACAGAAATGGATGCTTGCAATTTGCAAGGCCCCAGGCAAACTCTTTTAAGTGTTGACAAGAAATCGTAGTGACACTTCCATAGTTTACGTAGATTACAGAATTTTGTGCTTGTTTATCCAGCCATTCTAGGCAGGCTGCATCTTCTTTCCATAGGCTTGGCTTAAAAGAGCTTAATTGGCTCTCTGGTAAGCCCCTGGTAAGCAATGCAAGGGGACCCACAGTGTAAATTGGGGGAGAAATGGGTGAAGTTGCCTCTAAAACTTCATGTTCAAGATCATTGAAAGTGTTGATGATAATTGCAGAAGCTTTTAAATTGTTTTGTGTTTCGTCTCGTAAGTAATTTAGCAGGACATCATCGGGATTTGTCGTTCTGATAAGGCTCGGCATGTCCTTCAATCGCATGTTTTTCATGCCTGGAATCCAGTTTATAGGCGTGTCTAGCAAGCCATTTTCCATGAAGTTTTCATCTGTTACAGTCATACACAGTAGTTAAATGCTGATATCTGATACCATATGTTAAAAATAGAACCAACATCCTTAACTAAAACAGAAGGTTTACCATTGAAAGGTATAATTCCTCTCTTTATGAGTTCGTGATATTGCAGATATCCCATGAAGCCGCAAGCAGAGGCAGTCCAGAATTGAACAACAGGTATGCCAAATTCTTCACCAGCCTTTATGGCAAAGCTCATGCATCCATCTGAAATTATGCATGTGATCCGTGGAAGCTCATTGGAATGAACAAGCTTAGACATTAGATTTCGGAAAAAAGGTAAACAATTCTTTCGAATGGCTTCACATAACGCGACAGGATTTTGGGTTGCATCACGATCAGATGGTGGTAATCCTTCCGATATAGTCTCGAACTTGAAATCCCTGAACCCCTTTACCCAGTCTGATCCCTTAGACCGGATTAGGCGCCTGTGGTTATACTCAGTATTGACAAAAGTAATGTAAAAGCCTTTTGAGTGAAGAATTGTAGCTAGTTGCATCGTTGGAATCAAGTGGCCTTGTGCTGGAAATGGTACAAGAACTGCATGAGGCTTTCCAGTAAAATTGGTGCCCATATTTGACAAAGAAACAAAACGATAATGGTTTAACGATGTAGGTTCTTCTGCACATTTATATCTATATGCATGTGAAAGATGTGTTAAAGACAAATTTTAAATGAACAAATTTGTCCTGTCTCGAATAACAAGTCTTTAGATGAACTCCAGCAATTACTCCATCCATATGGAGCATTCAACCTTTTGACAAATCCACTTGAAACTATTACTTGAAATCATTTTTGCTTGGTTTTTCAAATTACGTGCCAGGCTTTTTTCCTTGAGAAGATGACAAAAAAGAATTGAGTTTAGTCCGACGCTCTTGAAGATTTTTGTCTGAACAAAGATGTTTTAATGGTACATCATGTGTGCTTGATTATTTAATTTGGACAACATTTGTTGCTCTGTGTTCTTTCTAGGTCTATCTCATACTTAAAAACAGAATAATAGTCAACAAATGGACTGAACGAGGTTACCCCATTTTGACTTTGATAGTAGCATTTGACATTTTAAGATAAACTTTGGGACGTCTGAAAATTCAATTTGCTAAAAATAGGTTGAATATTTATTTTTATTTTTATCAATCAATCAGATTTCATCAATGTAAGTTGCCTTAAATGGTGTCGCTCGTGCACCGGATAAGTTTGTTATCTTGAGTTCAACTGTAACTGATCTCGGGGGTAAGTTTCATTTATGAAATTGTGCTTCGAGATATTTTTGAATAAATTTGATGCGGACATCATTTTTATGGAATTTTTATTATTCACGTTCTATTATTGGGTTATCTACTATTTATATTATTGAATTTTTCGAATGGCTTTACATAACGTGACGGGTTTTTGGATTGCATCACGATCGGATAGTGGGAATCCTTCTGATATAGTCTCGAACCTAAAATCCTTGAACCCCTTTACCCAGTCTGATCCCTTAAACTGGATTAGGCGCCAGTGGTTATACTCAGTATTGACCATAGTAATGTAAAAGCCTTTTGAGTGAAGAATTGTAGCTAGTTAAAGTTGGAATCAAGTGGCCTTGTGCTGGAAATGGTACAAGTAGGGATGGCAAAAAAGCTCGTCGGCTCGGAAAAAATTCTAGCCTGGCTGGGCTCAGGCTCGGTTACACCGAGCATCGGCTCAGGCCGAGCTTCATTTTTTTGGCCGGGCTTTACTTGGCTCGGCTCGGGCCCAAAAAAGCTCGAATCGAGCCCGAGCTCTTTTATTTAATTTATAG